CACACACACACACACACACACACACACACACACACGGTTGGTTACACCAGCTTCTTGGCCTCGAAGAAGCTCTTGAGATGTCTCATCTGCCAGATGCCGATGGCGACCAGGATGAGGGTCTGGACGATGGACCACCACAGGACTCGCTGGTTGGTGCTCTCGCTGGTCAGACGGAAACGCTCCTCACGATACTAAGAGGGGACACACAGACAGCAGGGGGCGCTCAGTGACACACTGTCGAGGGGATTCAGGTAAAAAGTCTCACGCTCAGATCACACGAGCAGTGACGTCACCACAGCAACGCTCAGAGTGACTTTGTTCCAGCTGCGTGAAAACAGAAAGTAACGCAGCATTTCAGGCTCCGTCCACACAGACACGTTTGAGAACTCAAGGGGCTTCCTGTCAGTAACACTTCCTGTCAGTAACACTTCCTGTCAGTAACAGTTCCACCTCGTCGTCCCTGCTCTGACTTTTCACCTTCACTGTTCCTTTTCTGCAACTAACCAACTGCAGGGGTCAATCTATTTCCTGTTTACATCACATGACCAGTGTACATGAACGGTCATGTGACGTGTTTTCAGGTGTGTTAGTGTGGGCGATGGTTATTTTAAAATTGTGGGCGGTGCCTCGGTTGCATTAGTTTGACTCCTCAAACATTCACTGACTGACCCTCTGATAGTTCTGCTCCTTCTGGATCTGGTCCACCTGCTCCACCAGCTGTCGCACTCTCAGCTGCAGCTCCGTCAGTTTGTCTTTGGCGGCGATCTCAGCGTAGTTGTTGGCATGCTCGCCCACCTGGATGTCCAGGTGAACCCTCTGCAACACAACACCGTCATCGTGAGTCGTATCACAGAATCACAGGTTTAACACAACAACACGCTCACGTCGGACGTCGTCTACAAACCAATCAGAGTCAAGTACAGGTAGACGACGCCCACGTAGGTGAAGACGACAGGATGTAAATTATAACGTGAAACTAAAACTAACAGATCAAATGAAACATGAACAAACACACGAAGCTTCAGACTCTCAGTGTGAAGTTCAACACGAACACAAACTCCAGTTTCCTCACCAGCAGGCCTCCAGCGAACAGGGAGAACTTGGAGGAGTTGGAGTGCAGACAGATCTGATGCTCTCCAGGCGTGTGCGACGTGAAGGTGAATCTTCCCTCGGAGCCGTACTGACGAGACAGAATCACCTGCAGGAAACAGAACAGTGAACTCCTGCAGAAACCAACAGCTGCTGGACGAGAACATTTGGAGTTTTGTCCGCACCTTGTCGTCAGGATCCTTGACTTCCACGAACATGCCCAGACCCTGAGTGGCGGGCAGGTACTCCTCCCGCTGTTTGTCGTACAGCTGAGTGCGGTAGTTTCCTGCAGAGAGAGAAACACATGAAATCAAAATGGTTCTCAAACATCTCAGTGAATAAACTTCAGATCCATTATGTGTGTTAAAGATCAACGATCCAAGAAAAGCACATTTATATCATTTCAGTTTGATAAATGATTATAACCATCTGTCAATCAACTGATCAATGACATCAGGTGGCAGCTCCTGAGCTGCAGAGAAGTTCAAGTACTCATTCAAAGTACAAGTAGTGGAGTACTCTTCTTTGAGATACTTTGGTCAGGCTGCGTTAGAGACAGAAGAGAAAACTACAATCACATTAAAGACAAACAGGAAGTTCGTTAAAGCTCAGCTTCTTCTTCTTCGTGAGCTTCAGACTGAAACTCAGCTCAGGTGTTGAAACAGTTTCCATCTGAAGCCTCTTCGTCTTTTATTCAAACTGTGAAACTCGTTTCAAAGATGTTTGAGGACACGAGCGGACTTTAGCTCCGGTTAGCCGATCAGCTCAAGTTGGAGAGCTAGCATTAGCGGTTAGCATCAGCGCCCACTCACCGATGATCATCGTCTCGTCCGGGATCTCCTCGATGAAACATTTCTTCTCCGTCTCTCCGATGTGAAAATACAGCGAGGACACGAGTCCGGAGAAAACGTGGAGGAGGAAAACCGACAACACGCACGGCTTCATCCTGACAGACGCCATGTTCACACCGGGACAGAGCCACTGCGCATGCGTGCTCCCCGCAATGCCACGTTAACCATAGTCCGAGGGTGGCCAATCAGCGCGCCGCACGAGCATGCTGGGTAATGTAGTTTAGCTAGAATTATCATTTGCATGTTTTTTAAAACCAAGAGCATATTATTATTATTATTATTATTATTATTAT